GCATGACATTTTACTTTTATTTTTATTTATAGGATTCATTGGAAAAGTTTGGTTTGGAAACAGGATATATTATATACAGGGTGTTTCACATAACTGGAACTAGCTATGACTATAAAACAGTAGAAAATAGAGAAAAGATTTAGGAGGTAAAATGCAATGATAGAGTGTTGAATGATAAATAAGTCAGTGTGTATGACTGTAAAAATGGAGACATTTTGAACATTTCAAGTTTATACAGCAGGTCATGCATTACTTTGACGTCATCTTAGAGACATTGTCAATCTGTAATTAATTATTTATTGATTGAAACAAGTAGAAAGTGAATAAATCACTATGCAAATGGATTATTATATTATAGGTATTTATAATTTTCTTCTTCTCAAAATCAATATGCCTTTTTCAATATGCCTCTCATAATAAAATTGTGTTTAAGTTGCTGATGGATAAAATAAGGATATTTTTGAATTACAAAGGGTTAATTTTGTCATATACATCATATAATTTTGTATATCTTCATTGGGTGAGGCACCGCGTATATTTCATTTATAATAACTTTAAGAGTATTAAATTGGAAATTTTCCAAATACTTTTTTAATTAATTCAAGTATCTTATATAATTTACAATTTTAATTTTAACTTCTCAGAAGTTAGAATAATATTATTATATACTGTTCAACTTATATAGTGTTGAGATTAATGAAGCTTATTTTAAAATAAACTTGGGATAATACCTAAGATCAGGGATGTCCGTGGATAGAATCCCTTACGAGGCTCTGATCCCTCTATGCACTGTTATAAGCAAAGAAAGTTCAGAAAGAGATCAATAAGTTTACTATAACTTTCTTTTCTCATATCTCACCCTTAATCTCCTAATCTTACCTCTTGAAATTCATTTTGGGTATGAGGTTAAGCTGTATTAAATACGTTTGGTGAATTAAGAACTTGTCCATTTTGCTCTTGTTAATATAAATATAATAATGTATTTTTAACACAGGTGTAATAATGCATTTAGAAAACAAATATGATATCCCTGTCTAAATAAATGATCAAATTCAACGTAATAGTAATCCAGATGATAAGTGAATTTGTCTTTGTCACTAAACAGGTTTAATGGAAGATATTACATGGGAAATATTACGTTTACATTACGGGAGCCTACGCTTATATTACAACGTAGGCTAATGTTTTGTGACATGGTAATGAAGGCAGAGTGGGAGTGGTTATACAAGCTTTGGGGCTTAGATTAGACAGCACTGATTTAACAGTGCATATATATACTACAGTCTAATTGCATGAGGTAAAAGGAAACGATAATCCTAATTCCATTCTTATAATTTTATATTATTCCAGTGACAAATGTTTCACTATTATTGAATTAAATTAATGAACTACTAAGCTGAAAAAGAAAAATTATTTAATTTTAATTGTAATTTCAATTTTATTGAATTTTAATTGTAATTGCAATTTTATTTAATTTCAACTATAATTTAAATTTTATTGAATTTTAATTATAATTTCAATTATTTAATATTAATTATATCATAATATTTAATAAATTACTAAATTGAAAAGAAAAATTATTTAATTTCAATTATAATAATTAATAATATAATTTATTTCAATTTAATTGAGAAAAGTATTACTTAAAATTCTGATATATCATATAATTTAGGAAACTGAAGTAATGAGGAGATTAAAAATATTTTGAAATAACAAACTGGAATGAAAGAAATTATATTTCACAGTTTCCAAAATAATGTAATTAACCTGCATTGTCGCACAGGATGCAGTCCTCTATTTATACGTTTTATTCCAGTAGACCTTTGTCACATACCCATTGTATCCTTGCATCATCGTCAACCATTGTGTCATAGTATACAGCGACACGTGTTGCTCTCGCACGGGTGGCTCTGTGTAGCCAGACCAAATTAAAAGACACGTAAGATATGTTCCATAGATTGTTGTCCCAGCTGTATTCCTTTGAATTATGGCCACTGAGAAATTCAAACCCTTCATTTGGATTTATGGCATGTCCTCCCTGTTTCTGAAAAAATAAATTTATATCAGGTATGAACACACAGAGCTGTCCAAAAAGATCAGGACTGAATTTATATTACACATTAATGGAATTGATAAGGTAGAAAAGAGTTCCCAATATAAATATTATGATTATGGGTTTATAATTGTAAAATAACTACAATTATTATATATTTCTCTAATTAATTTTAGAATTATAAATTCTATTGTAAAATTTAATTTATTCTGTAATTATTATGATATTTATATATTCTCTTTTAAATTCTTTTATTACTCAAGGAAGATATACCTAAACCCCCAACTTTTATCTAATGTTTATATTGTTAGTGATGAAATATTAATAACAATAAGAACAATTCTTTATATAATTACAAAGATTATCAAACACAAATATTAAGTTTAAATATTAAATTAAATTAATTTACTACAATCACATGCTCATACCTCTTCTCACTATTAAAACTCAATTGCAACTAACCTATACAAATCACTTTCGTTTCTTTCTTTCTTTTTTCATATATTACATTAACATACACAATACACACAACACCTCAATCATTATACGTATACTCATTTATCACAATAACCTGAATTCTTTAGATATTGCTACCCTATGCATACTTGTTCCACTTATTCCTTTGTTATATACATCACTCCTTTATTATATCAACATATATATATATTTAAAAATCTATGTAATCATTACCACATATATAAATATTCGTTCTTGGAATTTAGATTTTATAAACTATTTATTCACACTTTATATCCTAGATTGATTTTTATATGTAACTGAACTTATATTTTCTGCAGTAAACTTATGTTTAAAAATATTTTCTCTGGAAAGTTACCAGTGTCCAAAAATTTGTCATTTATTATGACAGTTATAATAAATGTTTCATAGTTCTTCATTTGGATTTATGGCACGTCCTTCCTCATTTCTGGAAAAATAAATTTATATGAAATATAAATACACAGAGTGCCCAAGGGGATCAGAATCAAATTTATACTACATATTAATGAAATTGATTTGATAAAAACGAGTAAATTTATGTTTAAAAATATTTTCTCTGGAAAGTTACCAGGGTCAAAAAATTTGTCATTTATTATGACAGTTATAATAAATGTTCCATATTTTTTCATTTGGATTTATGGCACGTCCTTCCTCATTTCTGGCAAAAATAAATTCATATCAGGTATAAACATACAGAGTGTCCAAAAAGATCAGAATCAAATTTATACTATATATTAATAAAATTGATTAAGTAAAAAAGAGTAAACTTATATTTAAAAACATTTCCTCTGGAAAATTACCAGCATCCAAAAATTTGTCATTTAATATAACAATTATAATAAAAAAATTCCATATTTCTTCATTCTGAAGGAATTCTCCATCTTCATTTAAAAATCTACGAAACCACGAAATTTCCAAAATTCCCAAAATTCTCAGAGCATATTACAAGAAATCCACGTTGTAGAACTACATTTGATGTTACAGAAACTGAAAGCAGTTGAAAAGCGTTTATCAAGTACCTAATCCTACCTGACAAATACCCTCGTGCACTAGAATCTTGAAACAGAGCGGTGGAACAATAATTACCGTGCTGAGAAAAACAAACACGAAGAATTTACATACTACAGAAGCAGGTGTACACGATAAAATCTGGCAAACAAATTGCGTTGAAAAATTTTCCCTCAAACGGGAAGTATAATTATTCTTCCCCGGGGAACAGGTAGACGCCATTAACTTAAATATGGGAATAGGTATTTTAAACACCGCGGCAATGATAGCCCCCGTGTCTTATCTCGCAGAACATAGTAAAACGAAAAAAGTGTATTACACACGAGCAGATAGAGGTAAAAGATAAAGATTATATACTTTGAACCGAGGCCTATGTGTATTTTACTCGCTCTCCCTCCTTCTGCTTCCTCTGCTCTTGTTAGCTGAATAAAACTATCTAATTTAGTATTAAAAGTTAGACCAGCGATCCACCGTGTACACTCGCGTTCCTGCGTTATCTCTGCGATGTTCCCAGTGTGTGGGTAGATTGCTTTTTAAACAGAATAACCGGTCCTGTATCGATCCTTACGAGCAATATCGTCCAGTCGACACGGCTCTTGTATCCTCGTATTTCCTAAGGGAACCTTCGGGATGTATCTCGCTTATCGGTACAAGTACAGTTCCAATAAACGTCTCGCTGTCCTTCCTGCGTTATAATATGCGTATAAGCGAGCAATTCGAAATTTTTATCCGAGTCGTAAAAGGAGGTCGGCCATTAACGCGCCTTGTTCGCACATTTTACCCTCGGGCTTGGAAATAATCGGGGCCTATACACCCCGGTGAAATAGAGGCTCAGGAACGCGTGCATATGCATATCGTGTGTATTAATCAATGCTTGTCCAGGCACCACAGGCTCAAATGGCCATTCCATTAAAGAGATAAATGTATCAGGGGATGATTCCTGAAATAACACATCTGGAACGTAGACAAGGAGATAAAGGGATGCACAGTGACGTGATTTCCTTTGCAAGCATTTTTGCTTGAAAATTTGCTGAATTATTAACAATATAACTGTTAGCCGACGTGACGGACACGTCGTTTTTGTTTCTGCGACAAATGCCTATCGACGTGGTATACACGTCGCTGACGGCTTTGGAACAAAAGCATCTCAACGTGCGTGGCACGTCTTTATAGCGCAAGTGGTTAATTTGCTGTTCCCTCATTCGAGGCTTCTTGGGGATTCGAGGTTCTGCATGTGAATGTCTGTTTGGGTATTAAAAAGTTTAATGAAGGTAGCAAAGAAACTTACGAATGTCTGAGATGCAGTGTCAAATGCAGTCCAGTTCCTTCATCCAAGACTTCTTGGGTTTTGCATGTGAATGCCTATTTTTGTGTTAAAAAGTTTTGGAATATGCTATTTGTCATGAAGCTAGCAAAGAAACTTGCGAATAATTGAGATAAAATGTCAAATGCAGTCCAAGTTTCAGGAATTAGAGTTGGAGATGTGTTTCATGATTGGATATCTAGTCTCAAGTGCCGCCATCTTTGCTGTATGGCAATATACTTGGCTTCTGTTGCTTTCCTTATAGCTCTGGTCAACTTACAGTTGGTTAATCCTTTGAGAATTGCCCATAAAGTAGTCCAGTATGATATCCTTAAGAGAACTCAAAGAAGCAGTGTCGCGAGGAACTAGAAAAATTTGATAAGTACAAACTTTTTGCTATTGAGAACCTGAACGAATATCATGAACAGTTCGTGGAAGATGCTCGTTGAGCATGAACCAGTTTGTATAAAATATATAATGTCGCTCGGACTGCAAAAAGCTGAGTTCTAGGTGCATATGTTTTCTAATCAGGAGTCTGCTCTCAAGTGCTGCCATCTGCGCATGTCTCCACCCTCGTTTTCCTTCCTTCTTGTTTTAACATTGCATTTACCGAGTCACAAATGAGCAATGGTTAGGTTAGAATTTATTAAAGCCTAATCTGTAGCGATATTGTCAAAATAATTTTATATATCACTGCCATAAATTCAGAAAATTAAACGAAATCAAACTCGTTGATTCACGTTACATAAATTAATTTTAATTCATAGAATAGTAATTTTTATTATTCTGTGTCTACGAAGAGTTTTTGAAAAATCGAATATAAAAAAGTTAGGTTAGAATGCCTAATGTTACTTCGGCTGCAAGAACTCGAAGCTCTGAAGTGCATACGTTTTATAATAAAAAGAACCTGTTCTCAAGTGCTGCCATCTGCATTGCACGTCGTCCCCATCTCTCATATTGTTCCACTTCGTTTCACTGCATCTGACCAGCTCACAAGTTCGTTTGAAAATCCATGAAAGAATACTGCCCAATAATTCTGTAAAAATAAATCAAAATATCAAAATAAAAGAAATTGAATAATTTTATTCGTTTTGAAAAACGTCAAAAAATTCTAACCTCTAAAAATATTCTTTGCCGTTTAGAGTCGTGTGTCCTTGGGTCAGTCAGGAATTTAGTCCCCAAAGGAAAGAAAGGCACAGATTCCACGTATCCACTGACGTTCCGATCAAAACATTCCAAAAGGAGAATAATCAAGTTCTGGTTTCCTGGAAAGCGACGCTTTCATTGGTTGATTCATCAACAAAGGGGATACGAGACCTGGTTAAATAATGGCGCGTGCAGGAGAATGGAGAAAAAAAAAAGAGGGTCTTCTTTGAGTACCTACGTGCCGACGTCATCGTTTAAGCCAAATATTTACCGTTCACTGGTGACGCGACCGCGACATGCAGCCAGGGTTGTTAACTTGGTATAAGGAAACCGTATATTTCACCGTTTCCACGAGTTACTTCGCATTTCTTCGTTTCACCAACACTGTGTCTCATGGGTTTTACCCCTGCTGTCTTCGTTCTCGTTCTCTCTTCCGTCCTTTATTTTCATTCCCATGGGCAGATCTGTTCTTCCTTAAACTCTATTACATTCTTTCAACATTTGACTAGGCACGGCCATCTTGCATCTTTAAATAATGCAAACATGGCTCCTATTTTATTTTTAAACGTATTTGCATTGTAGTTTTGACAGTTATTGATTTATAATAGTTAATTATTTATTATAGATTTTTATAATTGGGGATGGCAAAAGTGGACAATATTCAAGAATTGTTATTGGAACATGGAATTTAGTGAGGTTAGGATATCTATATGTACCGTTTTTCAATATTTTGTTTGAAATACAAATGTTGAAATTGATGAAAATAATTGAAATTACAGGAATAAGTATGAATATATGTTTCTAATATTTTTAATTACAAAATGTAGGATTTAATATTCATAAAATTTTATTTCTAATTTTTAACTTATTTTCACATTTAAAATTATAAGGAATTTTGTAGATGAGCTTGATAGATAGATGTGCTTGGTATATTATCTTTACTTATTTAAAAGTATAAATTATAATATTATTTAGAACAGTATTAATTATAAAAAAATTTATCTTTATGTACTGAGAGAAAAAATTTACAGAATTAAATTTACAAAACATTTACAAAATTTGATTCATAAAACTTTATTCATAATTATTATAAATAATTTTATTCTCTATTTGCATTCAAATGTATATAAAGTATTCTATAACATACTTTGTTACACTTCTTATGGATTCATTTGATGTGCAGTTATTAATTGTTCCCATAAGAGCTAGAAAATATGAAAACTAGTTAATTGCAATCAGTATTCTTGAGTAATCATAATTTGTTTTTTTTTATTTTTTATAATATTTGCAATCTATGTAAGATATTTTATCTCATTGCTCTTGCTGTATATATACATATTCTTTTGGTATGCAGCTATTAATTATTCCCTTAAGAGCTAGAAAATATGAGAACTTAATTGCAGTCAGTATCCTTAAATAAATATAATTTTCTTGTTATTTTCTATAATATTTACGATATATATGTAAGATACTTTACCATATTACACCTGCTATATATATACATATTTCTTTGGTGTGCAGATATTAATTGCTCCTACAATAAAAACTAGAAAATAGAAAGATAATAATATTCAATAATAACTATAAAATTTAAAAACTAGCAATATATTTAATACATAATATTAAAGTAATATAATCAATATTCTTCAATAAACATAATTTATTTTTGTTTGTTTTACATGTGCAATCACATATAATGTACTCTGCCTCACTTTTTACGTATTCCTCTGATATGCAGATATTAATTGTTTCCATAATAAGAGCGAGAAAATTATGCGTTGTGAAAGGGTGAACGAAAATGACTTTTTCCGTATTACTATTCGAGGCAGCTCGCTTATTAAAATTTGTATCACCCTTTCATCAGCAGCTAGCACATTCAAAGAAATCCTGCAGCCCGATTTCACGGCACCCTTGGTCGCAACGAAAAGGAAAGTATACGCCGATGGCTGGAGGAGAAAAAAGAATTCCTTCGAAGGGAACAGCGTATGGCACGAGCATGGAACGACCACCAACGAGCCTCCTCCCCACCACTGTGTTTTCGTTTACCCGCGTTTTCTTTGGCGACGTTAACGCCCTCGTGGTGTCTCTTCCTTTTCTCTCGACTCCTCTCTTTTCTCCCTTGCTGCTCTGCCACCATCTCTCCCTCTCCACTTTCCCTTTTTCGACAAGTGTACACAATTCGGCGTGCGATCTGGTTGCCTGTGATTTACAAAAACTCCGCGTACGATGAATTCCCGTTCGATATTTCGAACTGCTAAACTGACTGCTGCTAAACGTTCGTCTTGATTCCCGTGTAACGCTTACGCGCCACACGTGCCGTTGCCGCGCATGCGCGTTAATCCTCGACTGACCGAGTGACGCGATGCAGTCCAGATTACCCGGTGAGCAGAGAAAGTAATTAAGTGCTATAATTACCGGATTGCTATCTGTATTTCCGTTTCGACGAGCCGTCGGCATGAAATTTCATCGTCACGTCACGCTTCGTACGCTTCGCAGCTTTTCATGCGATTTGCTGCCCCGCTTGAAAACCGTAAGTACAGAGTGGCCTTTGAAAAATAAACAGTTCTCGGAAGGAGAGTTTCACGCAGATCGTGGAACAATAACTGCAAGGTCAATGCCCGTGACCGAAAAAGAATTCGAGATTTTGGTAGTCGTGCTCGTCGTGAACGTTCAATAGATATTGTTTTGTAATTGCGTATGATTTAATACGAATTTTTATTAGTGTTCTTTTATGTCGATATATTTTACTGTTTAAATAATGTATGTAGAATTATAGGAATTTTTATATTCGAGTGATTTAAGAATAAGTTGTCATGATATTTGAAATAATATTGATCATTCCATAAAACATACTTAAAATAAAAATTCGTTGATATCGAATGAAGCATTTATTAGTGTTAAAGAAAGTTTAAAAATAATTTTTTTTTTTAATAGAAAATGAGGTTATCCTGCCTTCTCTAAGTATCATCATATACATTTTTCATGGTTTTAGACTACGGTAAAAAGTATATTAAATAACGTAATAGCGTGGATTATTTTAATTATAAAATTTTACGATAATGTAACCTTTATTTGACGTTCATTTTATTACTTGACATTAGCGCGCCACATTTAAATAGATACATATGTATGTTTCTAATTATATATAATTTTTTCTAATTACACTTTTTGCGATTGCATTTGTAATTCTTTTATTTTTATATATCAGAATATCATTATATATATTTTTTTTTTATTATATTATTTGCTATCGTTTAATATTTTTTGAAGATTAAATCTGTTATTTGAGGTTATGTAAATCGAAGTATATTTACGTACTCGTTGAACATATAAAATCGATTTTCTCGACAACGAAGCTTCGAATGGAAAAATTTTATTCTTTATTTTTAACTTGCTTTTTCACGTAGAATCACATCCTCCTGCGTTATACCATCGATTCTGATGTATCGATGGTTTATTCATCTAAGCCATAGCTAAGTGCACGCGTACTCGGTGAATATTCAAAGTCGATTTTCTCGACAACAAAGCTTCGAATGGAAAAATTTTATTCTTTATTTTCGATTTGTTTTTTCGCGTAGAATCACACTCTCCTCGGTTGTACCACCGATGCTGAGACACCCTGTATAAAAGTAGATACAAAATAGTTGGATTGCCGTTCGAATGGGACGGGAAACGATTTCAGCCTCAATAACAGTAACGACTCTATCGGGACGCTGCTTTCTAAATTGATCTCTTTGTTCCAGATTGCCGTCTCCGTACAATAAGCAGTCGGCAGTCGGTGGTGCAGGTGGCGGGCCCGGCGCTGGAACGACGAGTATACCCTTACCTGCCACCGTAGCCGCCACCAGGAGGTGTCCTCCAGACAAGGTTAGGCCGGCTCCGACGCCGACGCATCAATCACAACTTGGTAAGTTTCCTTATTTGCCTATCTTCCCAGCGAAAACTTTAAGCAGTATCGATTTTCTGCATCCACAGCAGGGTGGATTGACTCGCTCAATCTTTCAGCGTGTATTCGTGGCTTACGAGGAGTTTAATTATTTATGGGGCTGGGAATACTTTAATTATTCACGCAGAGAAAATTTATGGAGATACGTCTGCCGAGTAGATGTCTGTCAGTTGCTTGAGCCGGTTGGCTATTTTAATGTTTGTTTACCTTTTGTTCGATAACCTTGGATATGTATCACGTTACATAGTAATACGTTGGCATAACCAGTGTATTAAATTATGTAGTTTGGGTGCACTTCGAAGGACTTAAGCGATATTTATGGATCCCCTGGGATTTATGGTAGCTGCAAACGTTGCCTCCGTGTGATTCATCCTTGATGATGAAATGCTTTAACAGTGTGTTGTGTTAGGGTAAATTGTGGATAGGTATTAATAATTATGTTTGTGGAATTTTAGATCTGTCTATATATTTGGAATAAATATAATGTTTTTAAGAAAGTATAATTTGTTATTAATAAATTCTAACAATTTTATAACAATTTTATTAATAAAGACAAGAATAATTCAGAAATAATGCGACGGGTTGACAGAAAAATTGCTGTCTGGTCTGAGCCCTATTCGCTTTATATAGGTCTGCATTTAAATTCATGAAAGATATACAATATTTTAATTAACTTGTTGAATTTGTAACTATTTAGGAGAATTAGACAGTTTTATTAAACTTCAGTAGCATATATTTGTTAATATAAATATTATATATGGTCTCTTTGGTTTGATATACTTCATTTGTTCCACAAACTATTGATCTATAATAGAGAAAACTTAATAGCATATCTATATCCTTAATTTGTTACTGGGTAAATGTGTCGCCATCTATGCAGTCTCTAAGTTAACTAACATAACAATTACATGTGAACTTGCTATAACCATAGTCTATAAAATTTCTAAGAAATAATTAATTTTAGTTAAGTCAATTTTGAATCAAACCAATATAAGAATAGAGTAAGTTTACTGCTTAATGTATACATATGTGTACAAGTATATCTTTAGACATAGTAATGATGAAAACTATAGTACTCTTATTATAAACACCTTACAATTAATTAGCTTAGCAATATTTTTAGCAATATTCAATAAATTCCCCTTACTTCTTAAATTTTATGTGCTAAGATGAAATATAATTACCTCTAACCTACAATAACCTATGCTAAACTAGGTTACATAAAACTAACCTGCACCATAACCTAAAAATAAACTACAACAATTATTTTGGCTAAATGCAGTTTATTTTGCACGGATACAAAGGAAGTGGTTAAATATTTTAGACACGAATGTATTAACGCAAATTTGAATAATAATATTTAAGTATATAATACTATTTTGCAGCAAAATTGTAAGGAAGAAAATATAATTGAAAATAACGAAGTTATTAAAGGTAACAAGCAGGAGAAAATGAAGGGAAAGATGAAAAGCCAAGATGGGGTTAGGGGGCTATGAAAAGAGGCGGCATTATTTTTTCCTAACTCCCCCTTTCCTCTTCGTGCAAACTGCTTTTAATGGAAAGTCATTAGCGATCCTGAACAGTTACCGCAAAGTAACATCCTGCCATGATCTTTTAGTGCCAACAGTTTATCTGTTTCTGGCATTCTCTTTCATTCTCTCGACGCAAGCGTCGGCTCCCCCCTCGCGATACTTTGCGCTTCTCCTTTGTTGTTCCTCCCGTGATCGATGTGTCTAGCTATCCGTGCATTTATCCTCGTCGAATGTTACTCCAACGCCGAAAAATTCCACTACGATCGAACTCTGATATCCTCAAACTGGTATAACCTCAAAATTTTCTATCCCTTATTTTATTAATTCTCTCTCTTTATTTTTTAAAATTTTATTTAATTCAAGAAAATTTTAATTCAATTTCACAAACGCGTCTCGCTCGAACGAACTTCTCAACATCTCGAGATAATACGCGGGATTTACTCTTAAAGACACAAAGGTTCGACGAGGGTGGCGCAGTAGATTCGGTGCCGTGTTAAGAACACCCCATTAGCCATTAGTCCTGTGAATGGCTTTTAGCAACCCTTTGCGCATTTCTGGCTGCCACGAGAGATCTGGACCACCATGGAAACTGGCTTCCATGGGGTACGCGACCCTGTGTCGCTTTTAAATATATGGGCTCTCCTGCACGAGCGTCGACTTCGCTCCCCACTCCCGTCGCGCTGTCCCCACTCCCGGCGCGTTGTCCCCACTCCCGGCGCGCTGTCCCCACTCCCGACGCGCCACCCCCACCCCGCCCGCTCACATACACTCGTCGCCGGCTCTATCGCCGTCACGCGTACGCGTATCAGTCGTTCTATTTCGTGCAAGTGTAGCTAACCGTGTTGAACAAAAGCGCGCTGTATCTGCGCAAGCCTGCCGGTAACCGTATCAGCATTCGTCCTGACATGTGTAGGTCTACCTCGGTCACCCTATTTCGTACGCTCGCGCCACGAAAAGCGTGTTCTATTCGTATGGACCACGTTACGTGTACACGTCGCGAAACTCCGTTAGGCTGATAGCTGGCTCGTGTGTATTAGACGCGAACACAAGCATGCAGCAGTGGCGGGTAGCTCGTATGGGCGACGATATTACCTACATCTATGGTGGTTGGGAGGAGGTAGGTAGCCCGCTACGAGATGGGGTGGCACCCCATAGTTTATACTTTACTCTCAACTCCCACGTTTCCAGGGCGGCCACGGCCAGATGTGCACGCCGATTTACAGTGGTTCTCAACCTGCTCTCTCTTTGCGCAACTAGCGGACCGAGACTATTTTGAAGTACATAGTACACGGAATGGATATATTTTTAACCTATGAATAATTAAAAATTTGATCATTATATTCTCTTATTGATATGAGGTAAAAGATAGGGAAACCGAGACGAGGTGTTGGATGTTGGTACCTCGAGCCACGTGGCATTGGAGAGGGTTAACTCTGATTATTTATGTGAAATTTTGAAATTTTCTTTAACACTAGGATTATCGAGTCAGTCAAAATGGCTGATTTGAGATCTTTTGTTATTATTAATATTGAAACTGTTAACTCTTATTCGGACAGGGGTATAGCTATATTTGAGGTTATAAAGACAAAATTTTTATTTTCGAAATACTATTATCAAATTAAAATGCAAATTAAAATTTGTTTCGACATATAAAGTTTGTTTTTACTTTTTTTCTAATTAAATACACTGAATTGTATATTTTGAAATTCAGTTAACGAATAAATTAGAATTTTTTGAAATTGCGACATGAATTTCTTTTTTATTACCACAGAAATATACTCAATTATTTTTATATTATATTACAATTATTTTGATATGAATATTAGCTGTGGTCATAGTTATAGTATAATTTCAATAATTTAATGACATGTTAATTATTGTTATTTATGTGTACCATATTAGGGGTCTAGATATTTTTAGTGTGAAGTTAAGAAATATCGAAGATAATACAGCTTGAATTACCTTAATTTTAATTTTTAAAAATGAAAATATATTTTGATTAGAAATAGAGGAATACATTGAAAATTCTGAAGAATTTTAAATAATCATAAAATTATTTATATTTTTATATAATTAATATATTTAATTAATTTAATTTATATTATCTTTATAATTAAATTTTGAAATTTTTGTTAATCAAATTAAATATCTCGGACGAGGAATATTTTGGATTTTAATTCGACGAACGAATATACCTTAAGAATAATTAATTCAAATTTCCGGGGTACGAAATCGCATATATGTTGCATGTCTCGTTCAGTATCTCGAGTTGCTGGGAGCTTCAAATATGTAGAAACTTAATAGCCGTCCTTTATTTAGTTGACACGAGTGATATAATTATGCAAATTACACAGCGAAAGAGGAAACGACATTTGAGCGATGTAGGAACGTTATCAATGATAAATTTAATTACCAAGATGCTTGGAAATGTTCATCAAGTATGTTTTCGCAAGTGTAGCTAAATGTTTTCGTTGTAACGGATAAGCGAGAAATAAATTTCTTTCAGCAGCCAGAGTTAATTTGCTTCTCGAGTGAGAAATGTTATGTCTGGCCAAGTGATTGAACGTGTTATGCAATGCTAAATTGAAACGTCGAATTTGCGAAAATAACTGCGTCCATTTGCTTTGATGGTTCTCAGGTTTGCGTTGAAACCATTAAATGATCCAGTTATTAAGTAATTTATATTATTTTAGCACATTGTATAGAATTTTATAAACGACATAAATGAAATAAATCGTCATTCTCAATACATTTTTAACCGATGATAAATTCATTTATTTATTCAAGGTCACGAGTAGTAAAAAGGTTTTTAATTTAATTTAATTTAATTTCATTTTTAAAGTAAAAAGGTTTTTATTATTGAATTTTTCTTAGTTTTTAGTATTGTTTTTATTTTTTTAAATTAAATATGTGTATATTTAAAATGAAATTTAATTCTGCTCAATTTTATACAATGGAACATAGTATTTTTTTGGTAATCATACTTTTTCAATTCAGGTAATTGCCTAGTACTTATACTAGTAACAAGTAGTTACATAATATTAGTAAATAACTTGTTACATATTACATAATTGTATTAGATAGTTACATATCTATATATTATATATTATGTAGTTAATTTTGCATAATTACAGAGTTATACTTTATAATTAATGTAATATAGTCCATATGCAGTGCAATAAATTTAATTAATTTAATTAATTCAATTTAAATAATCAATTTAGTTTCTGCAAATTTTTAATGCAATGTAAGCAAATTTTGTTGCAAAATTTTGTGTAAAATTGTAACTCAAAACGAATGCTTTCTGCACATTTTTAACACAAAACGAATACTTTCTGCAAGTTCTGCAAGATTTGCAAATTTTCAACTCAAAACGAATGCATTCTGCAAAGTTTGAGTGCAAAATAAATATTGTCTGCAAAGTTTGGG